GTAGGCACTGTTCCAAGTACTTCCTTATAACTCTCATTGTATAACCTCATTGACTCTCTGAAGTATATACTATTAGTATTTCCATCTCACAGAGAAGGAAACTGAGACACAGAGCTATAGAACCTTGACAGAAGGAGAACTTATATTGGCAAGATCATTTCCAAACAAACAGGGGACTGAGCTGGCAGCTTTGGCAATGCTCCAACACACACACCCATGCTCAGTTCTAGACTCAGGTCCCCCAACAAAGCTTCCTGAAGAGCCAGGTGCCAGCTGGAGCTGGGGGCTTCTGGGCTGTGATTGGCTGCCATCATCTGTGGTTAGCCCTCCGCGGAGGGGGAGGCTGGGAAGGACTGTGGAAGCCGATAAATAATGCAGCCACCTGCTCTGAGGGACAAGAGAGCAAAGAGGGAGAGGAGAACACGCTTTGCTTTCTTGTTGGTGTCCAATAATATCAACCGAATTACAGACATCCCAACACTTTGCCCAGGCAGCCTGCTGAGCAAGGTAACCCTCGGGCTTTCCCTGCCTTGAGCTATGCATTTATTTACATTTTTATGTTTCTAAACAGAAATACTTGGGCTTTTTTCCTTGCATGGGATGAAGGGAGGGAGTGAGGGAAGCTGACATCAATTTGATTTTGTTCTCTAATTATGAAAATAGGAAAGGAGCAAGAGGCCAAGTTTACAAAGACACTGAAGGTTCATAACAAAGGTACAAAATACCTGAGTTCCTATAAGTGACTGCTGTAGGCGGAGGAAGGGTTTAAGGCGTGCTCCTTGAATGAATGAGTAAACAAATCAGCGGAAGGAAAGACGTGAGATCTCGGGGAAGGAATACTGTGCTGGTCCAGGCAAAAGAAAAATTATGAGGGGCAAACAGATTCCAGGGTGGGAGGGAATGTGTGCTTTCCCAGCTGTTGTCAGGTACTGACAGGAATTTCTCGGACTAAGTAGGAGACCAGTATTTTCCAATGTGTGACCCGTGGACCACTCATAGCCGGATCACTGGAATGTTTGTTAAAAAATGCAATTTCTGGTCTCCATCTCAGATAAACGGAATCAGAATCTCGGGGAGCTGATAATTTGCATCAATATTATTTTTTTAAAACACAAGCTCCCTAATGATTCTGATACAGCATGATTTTGAGAATTGCCACTGTAGAAATCCTGCTTTGATTTCATGGCTTTGAACCAGGGTTCCTGGCAAGGGGCTGTGACAATGAACTTTTCTTTCTGAAGTGGTTCAAGCAATAAGTTGCCTGGAGGAAAGGCAAGACCCTTGGGGATATTTTGTGGCTGCCTGGGACCTAGAAAAAGCTTTTGATGCTGCTAACTTTTGGATGACGGTGTTGGGCAAATATTAGACAGCAGTGTTTGTGGGGCGAATGAATGCATGAGTGCAACAGGTGTGCTGATGAGGGAGTCGCACCTGGGCATACAGTAGTTACTTAGAAATTGTGTATAGACCAACTTGAATGTGTTAAGAGGGGAGACTGAGGGCCAAGTGCTAGGATGTATATGTGCGCAGGGTGCGGAGCTGGACTAGGGTCGGGGATGATGCTGTTGCTGTGGTCCAACCTCCAGACGTAAATAATGATAGCACTCCCCACCAATGACAGCTTCTGCCTCATCCAAACTTCCCAGACTGGTTTGTACAGATGACTCTGTGCCTGGTGGAGGGTACCACTGTAGCTGTGGTGGCAGGTGGTGGCACTGTTGAGATGGCAGCGTCCAATGGGAACAGCGCTGAGCCAGCAACAGCCACTCTGCTTTGTAGATTCGGAGGTTGGTCTACTGTGCAGGAATTTTTTTTAAAGAGAGGAGATCAAGCATTTGCAGGATTCCTGAGTGTGGAAAAAAAAAAATGACTGTAAGATGGCTCTTTTCTAACTTCATATTGTTTACAGGTTCATGTCTTAGACCCGTCTCTACATGCTTACCAGAAAAGAAAGATAAGCTAAGGATGGTGGCCAGATTTGAGATGCAGATTTGAGGTCTTAAACTTTTCTGGAGGCAAATGCAGAAAGAAATATGGAAAAGTGACTATGGATATACATATAAATATAGTCTTTAAAACATTTTCCCCTAAACTGAATTGATGACATTTTAAAAAATAATGTTTATTGTGAAAAATTTGAAGGATACAAGAGTGAATAAGATAGAAAATAAAGAGACCTTCTTACCAGTGCTCATTTTATTTTCTGGAGAGTAAATATGGTTAAGATTTTAGTGCATATCCTTCCAGAATCTCCGTACCTTCAGATACACACAAATATGAACAAACATGCACAAAAGGAGCCCTACTATATTGCTATTGTTCTATTTCTGTTTTTTCATGTAGGTATCTTATTGTATTATTATTGATGTGTATAGAAATTGCACATACACATCAATGCATATAGAAAATTTAAGTTTTGGTATTGTTTTGCGTTCTATACTGGACCATAGTTTAATAATGCCCTATTGGTGATTATTTATGCTGTTTCCTATTTTTAAAGTAACAATTTTTAAAACAAATCTGTCTCTCTGTCTCTATATAAGTGGGGATAGCTTATGGAATGTTTTTTCCTACAAGAACAACTTGTGGGACAGTTTCTACAGAAAAGTTCCTGAAAGCAGATTTATTGCACCAAAGATAAAATATATTTCCGCTTTTTAAAGACATTGCTAAGTTGTCCACTAAAGATATTACACCAATGTGCACTGTATGAAGATATCTTCATCTCCTCATGCCATCAGCAGAGCTGAGTAATAGCAATATTTTTATCTTTTGGTATTTACATAGATAAAAAATATCTCATTAGCTATAGCTTGTAAAAGTTCTATCTTCTAAAAGTAATACATGGTAATTTTAGGAAAAGTAAAGATCATAGGTAAGGATAAAGTCTTTAAAACATCTATAACTTCCACCGATAACTACTATTAGCATTTTGGTGACTATTCCTCTAATAACAAGAATAACAGTGCCTCACCCCCCACTTCGTGCTTCTAGTTTGAATAAACTTTTAGGAGTTGAATTGGAAAACAATCTAATAAATACAGTTGATCTGTATGTCAATCATTAATAATCGCTTGGTGGTGGCACTCTCTCCATGGGAATAGTTAAATAAATGCATTTTGGTAGATTCCGATATAACATTATGGAGTGGGAGTCAGCAGAGGAGTGGGAAGGGTGGGAAGATAGTTCTAGGGGTCTTTCCCTAGCCTGGTGCTTGACTAACTCATTATTGTTAGTTCCAGACAGGATTATTATTATTATCTCAGAATCCCAGACAAGTACATCCAAAGAAGACTGGAAAGGGAAAGGCTAAAGGAATGAAAAGGCACCTGGGGATGAGTTCAAGCCAATAAGATAGGGGAGACTTAGAAGCCCTCACCCCTGACACAGGGCAGGATTTAGAAACATAACTGAACCATAAGCGACCCTGAGGTGTTTGTTGAGCTGAAACACCCTGGAGGCCAGTGAGACCTTTTAAAAAGTTTGGAATTTGTTTCATTTTCACATGGTTCTGCATATAGAACAATTTAACAGGATTTTCCCTTTAACCAAGTTTTGGAAATTGGCTTTTGACTTTTATGAAAAACAGCAATTTCTGAAGCATAATGCATGCAAGATGGAAAGGACTTCAGCAGTGTAAAGGGAGGCTCTGAAAAGAAACGTGCTGTCTCCCGCAGTTAAGATTAGCCCTTTCACACCCTGCCCCACCCATCTGTGGCCCGAGGGTGTTCGCCTGAGGATTAGTCGCCGTGACCACAGGATCATTTAAGAAAAAATCACCACTTTGGTTAGCTAATTAATTGATGGGGAAAAGTGTTGCTTGATAGAATTGGTGATTCAAGAGTGTTAATCCAGGCTAATTTGGGAGAGAAAGAGGGTAGGTTGAAAATACAATTGCTGTTTTCCCGGTTATATGTACTAAAGAATTTTGAGAGTATTGGGCTAATTGGTTCTAGAAAGGACCCAAATGGCATTTTCAGACGTTTTTCTGCAATATTTTTTGATGTCTGCACCACGCCCCAGATTTTTAGGTTTTCCTGGCATACATAATAGCATTTTTTTTTTTTTTACCAGAAGGTAAATATTACTCCCACCTCTTGTCGCAAACTCTAGAGCCAATGACCACTGCTCAGTAACGAATTTCAGGATGGCAGCCTGACACCTCAAAGTTGCTTATGCTTATATCTGAAACAACTTGAATTTTTCATCTTGTAAGTCCTTTGGAATCTTTGTATGTGCACATTATGGCTTAATGCAGGTTAAAGAGTAATGTGTTTTTTGTTTCTAATGTAGGCACAGCCTTATAATTTGTAGCAGTGCTCACTAATTAAAATTGTAAGCAAAATTACTACCCACGATTCTTATTATTAGCTTGCATTCATAAACCTCAAAATTCACTTTATCCTTCAAGTAGTGAGCAATTAGTTTCTTTGGGTTAGTAGCTTTATCATCCCTTTATGACCTGTTTGGAAGAAATAAACAGCCTGCCTCTCGGAAGACGGCTTTAAAAAGCTGGAAATATATTGTTAAGCTAGTGCAATGAGGCTAATACAATGTGAAAAATGTGACTTTTCTTTGATTTTAGTAGCTAGTTTTTCCTTGCAGGTACTCAGCGAATCACTGTTGAGCACCTGTGTACTAGGAATCTTGGGGAGATAGAGATGAATTACTCCAAGATTCTGTTCTCAAAGACGTTAAGGTTTTGGTGGAGAGGAAATACGATTTCACGCATGTGTATGAAACAAAGCAAAGTACCTGGCAATGCATGTACTTTGATACATGGTATAGAGGCCACAGGCAGTGTCAACAGAGGGAACTATTGCCCTCTCTGCTGTACGATCAGCACCTAACACAGTCTATTAAAATAGGAGGTTTAGTAAGTAACTTTCTGGATGAATTAATGAGTAAATATTTGAATGTATGAATCTGTATTCCTTCCAAGATGCATTGGTGAGATATTGTACTTTTTTCCTAATCTGACTTGTTTTCATTGTTTCCAGGCAATTCAGCCAGCATGGCTGTCTCTTTGCCACCCACCCTGGGACTCAGTTCCACTCCAGATGAAATCCAGTATCCACATATTAAATTTTCAGAATGGAAATTTAAGCTGTTCCGGGTGAGATCCTTGGAAAAGGCACCTGAAGAAGCTCAAACGGAAAAGAAAGATTCCTCTGAGGGGAAACTCTCTCTAGAGCAATCTCCCGTAGTCCCGGACAAGGCTGGGGCTGAGAAACCAGCTTTAACACAACCAGCGTTAAAGCCTCACCCTAAGTTTTTGAAGAAATCCCACGATGATGATGGGAAGGCAAGAGAAAAAGCAATCCACCAAGCCAACCTTCGGCATCTCTGCCGCATCTGCGGGAATTCTTTTAAAAATGTTGAGCGCAATAGGAGATATCCAGTCCATGGGCCCGTGGATGGTAAAACCCAAGTCCTTTTACGAAAGAAGGAAAAGAGAGTCACTTCCTGGCCAGACCTCATTGCCAAGGTTTTCCGGATCGATGTGAAGGCAGATGTTGACTCAATCCACCCCACTGAGTTCTGCCATAACTGCTGGAGCATCATGCACAGGAAGTTCAGCAGCGCCCCAAGCGAGGTCTACTTCCCACGGAATGCAACCATGGAGTGGCACCCCCACACACCGTCCTGTGACATCTGCCACACTGCCCGTCGGGGACTCAAGAGGAAGATTCATCAGCCAAATGTGCAGCTCAGCAAAAAACTCAAAATGGTGCTTGACCGAGCAAGGCAAGCACGTCAGCGCAAGAAGAGAGCTCAGGCAAGGATCAGTAGCAAGGAAATGATGAAGCAGATTGCCACCTGCAATAAGATTCATCTTAGTACCAAGCTCCTTGCAGTGGACTTCCCGGCACACTTTGTGAAATCCATCTCCTGCCAGATCTGTGAACACATCCTGGCTGACCCCGTGGAGACCACCTGTAAGCATGTGTTTTGCAGGATCTGCATTCTCAGATGCCTCAAAGTCATGGGCAGCTATTGTCCCTCTTGCCGATATCCCTGCTTCCCTACTGACCTGGAGAGTCCAGTGAAGTCCTTTCTGAGCATCTTGAACTCCCTGATGGTGAAATGTCCAGCAAAAGAGTGCAATGAGGAGGTCAGCTTGGAAAAATATAATCACCATGTCTCAAGCCACAAGAACTCAAAAGAGACTTTCGTGCACATCAACAAAGGAGGCCGGCCCCGCCAGCATCTCCTCTCACTGACCCGGAGGGCTCAGAAACACCGTCTGCGGGAGCTCAAGCTGCAAGTGAAGGCCTTTGCTGACAAAGAGGAAGGTGGAGATGTCAAGTCTGTGTGCCTGACCTTGTTCTTGCTGGCGCTCAGGGCGAGAAATGAACACAGACAAGCTGATGAGCTGGAGGCCATCATGCAGGGACGTGGCTCTGGCCTGCAGCCAGCTGTGTGCTTGGCCATCCGCGTCAACACCTTCCTCAGCTGTAGTCAGTACCACAAGATGTACAGGACTGTCAAAGCCATCACGGGGAGGCAGATTTTTCAGCCTTTGCATGCCCTTCGGAGTGCTGAGAAGATCCTTCTGCCGGGCTACCACCCGTTCGAGTGGCAGCCACCTCTGAAGAACGTGTCTTCCAGCACTGATGTGGGCATTATTGATGGGCTGTCTGGACTGACCTCCTCTGTGGACGATTACCCGGTAGACACCATTGCGAAGCGGTTTCGCTATGATGCAGCATTGGTGTCTGCTTTGATGGACATGGAGGAAGACATCTTGGGAGGCATGAGAGCCCAAGACCTTGATGACTACCTGAACGGCCCGTTCACCGTAGTGGTGAAGGAGTCTTGTGACGGGATGGGAGATGTGAGTGAGAAGCACGGGAGCGGGCCAGCAGTTCCTGAAAAGGCGGTTCGGTTCTCATTCACAATCATGAAAATTACTATAGCCCATGGCTCCCAGAATGTGAAGGTATTTGAGGAAGCCAAACCTAACTCTGAACTGTGTTGCAAGCCCTTGTGCCTTATGCTGGCCGATGAGTCCGACCACGAGACCCTCACAGCCATCCTAAGCCCTCTCATTGCAGAGAGAGAGGCCATGAAGAACAGTGAATTGATGCTTGAGATGGGAGGCATCCTCCGGACTTTCAAGTTCATCTTCAGGGGCACGGGATATGATGAGAAACTTGTCCGTGAAGTGGAAGGCCTCGAGGCTTCTGGTTCTGTCTACATCTGCACGCTTTGTGATGCCACCCGCCTGGAAGCCTCTCAAAACCTTGTCTTGCACTCCATAACCAGAAGCCATGCGGAGAACCTGGAGCGCTATGAGGTCTGGCGTTCCAACCCATTCCATGAGTCTGTGGAAGAGCTCCGGGATCGGGTGAAAGGGGTCTCGGCCAAGCCCTTCATTGAGACAGTCCCTTCCATCGATGCACTCCACTGTGACATTGGCAATGCAGCTGAGTTCTACAAGATTTTCCAGCTAGAGATAGGGGAGGTGTATAAGAATCCCAGTGCCTCCAAAGAGGAAAGGAAAAGATGGCAGGCTACCTTGGACAAGCATCTCCGAAAGAAGATGAACCTGAAACCAATCATGAGGATGAATGGCAACTTTGCCAGGAAGCTCATGACCAAAGAGACTGTTGAAGCCGTTTGTGAATTAATTCCCTCCGAGGAGAGGCATGAAGCCCTGAGGGAGCTGATGGACCTTTATTTGAAGATGAAACCTGTATGGCGCTCATCATGCCCTGCTAAAGAGTGCCCAGAATCCCTCTGCCAGTATAGTTTCAACTCACAGCGGTTTGCTGAGCTCCTCTCTACCAAGTTCAAATATAGGTATGAGGGCAAAATCACCAATTATTTTCACAAAACCCTGGCACACGTCCCTGAAATTATTGAGAGGGATGGCTCCATTGGGGCTTGGGCAAGTGAGGGAAATGAGTCAGGCAACAAACTGTTCAGGCGCTTCCGGAAAATGAATGCCCGGCAGTCGAAGTGCTACGAAATGGAAGATGTCTTGAAGCATCACTGGCTGTATACTTCCAAATACCTTCAGAAGTTTATGAACGCTCATAATGCATTAAAAAACTCTGGGTTTGCCATAAACTCCCAGGGATGTTTAGAGGAGGACCCATTAGGCCTAGAGGACTCTCTGGAAACTCAAGATTCAATGGACTTCTAAGTAGGGCAGGTGCTTATGAGTTGGTTTTGCAAATGAGTTTTCCTTTGGGTTGCACTGAGGCCTCCTCCTAGCACCCTTCACTTTTGTGTGCAGGGCTTCACCAACCAAGTGGTGGTAGGTGGGAGAGGCTGTAGATGCCGAAACCAGGAATGGATAACTGATGAGCTGATTGCTTGCGCCATTTAGGGAGTTCAGAGAAGCAACAGGAGAAATCAGTTATTTGAAAAGCTCAGTAACTCAGAAGAGGAGTAACTGCAGGGGACCAGAGATGAACAAAGATGTGTGTGTTTGAGAATGAGTGACGTGAAAATCAAAGCCAAGGTCGTCAAAGAAGGATGACCAGAGAGGCCAGGGAAGGGATTTGTCTTGTGGTTTTCATTCCCTCCCCTCAATTTATTATACTTTTTATTGAGATACAAGTGTTTTCTATATCGATTTTGTAGAATTCTTTGTTATAATTTTCACATATGTTGGCCAACTTTACAAGATACAAAGGGCTTTCCGTATATCTCTAATAATAATAATATCTCACATTTGTATGGCACAATGACCCTTACAGTGTTTTCAATGTGGTTTCGCAATTGGTAAATTTATTCAGAAATACCATACATCCAAAAAACTTTTGGAAAATTAGACCTTTTCTAGGTTTAAATGATGTTACTGCTGTAACCTTAAAAGTTGAGGAGGCCACCTACTGCCATGAAGCTAGAAGAATACAACTGTTAATTACAGTTAGTTGCTAAACCTTCTAGTAATACATGTTGACTTAGCTCTCAGGAGCCAGGTGTGATTTTTATTTTTACCTTTTAATTTCAATTAATTTAGTCTCCAAATATTTTGTTCTATAATCTCAAAGACACAGAGGCTTTTAAAATCTGGATTTGCTCACTGTATTAAAACAGATTTAATGTCTTGTTGAAAATTTCTGCCAGATTTTCTCCACACGATACCTGGGTCAATGTTACTAAATCCAGGTGTCTTGGAGTATTTCCCTCTGCAATGTGTTATTATTTTATTATGATCAATTGACTTTCAGTGTACTGAAGTTTTTGTAGCAGGATACCTTTTCACTTTTCCCACTTGCTAAGTTTAACTAAGTCTGCTCATAATACAGCGGAAGAGTTAACATTTGTAGAGTGTTTTTATTTTTTGGCACTTGGGGATATTTTCACATTCATTTTTGCCTCATTTTTCTGTGAGGTAGATGTAGGCATTGCTATTATCCCTGTTTGATGGAGGGTTAAATGATTTGTCCAAAGTCACAGGGATAATAAGTATTGATCTGGAATTTGAATGCAGGCTTTTTGTGTCCAAATTCCATGTTATTTCTACTCCTACAATTAACCCCCCCCTTTTTTTTTTTTTTAAACATAAGGCAGGATCATATTTGTTTAGGATCCACAATTAATCCCTACAGTTCATAATCCTGGGATTATGTTTCTTGTGGGCAGGAATGGGTGAGTTTTTAAGTTATTGGTGTGCTTTAGGACTTTTGATAGAGGAAAGTAATGCTAAAGCTCCCAAAAGCCCCCAAACCTCTGGCAGCTCCACTTATTTGGAAACTATTGTCTGCATCCTTAGAAATTTGGGAATTGCCAATTGCTGGCCATTTAGAGCAGGCATGGGATTTTTATATGCTAGTGTGTCAAAGTGATATGATAGTGTTAATTAGTTTTTTCTTCCTTTGATTTTTATTGACCATAATTGCCACACTTCATACATAGTATACCGAACAGCTTTGTAATTTAGTCGTCAAACATACATCAGTGACATTTTCCTAAATGATGTGCATTTCGTGTTTTTATGGGGATTAAACCCAGTATTTTCCATTTAATAAATACAGCAGTTTTTTCTTTTTATATATAGAATATATATAAATGACAAAGACATGTAGTTTAGTCATCAAAAACATAGGCATATTTCAATTTTATTTTTTCTTGTAGTTTTGCATTTTGTTCGTGAATGGGCTTCAGAACCACCCTTTTTCTTCTTTCCATTTAGCCCTTACAGCGTGTCTCTGCACTAATAAACAGCTGAATTCATGTCATCATCCTACTCCCTGAAGCATGCTGGCACTGGTTTGTAGATTTTTTTCCGTTTCCACTCTGTTACTTAATTGGTGGCACTGTAAATACTTCCCAGTATTAAATTCCCCTTTTCTAGCTTTGTAGGAACTATTTGGAATGCATGTGACTAACAGCATGATTTATAGTACAGCCATCCCAATAATTCCTCCATTGGATCACATTTTGATAAACCCCAGGAACATTTGGCCACAGGAATTTCAAAATGTAGAAATGTTGCCTGTGGTTGTTTCTGCCCCCATTGTTGAGATTGCAATATCCCCGACCCTGGTTTTATATTAAAGTTTGATTTTTGACAATGCCCATTGCAAATGCAGTCACCTACTCCAGGGAAATTCACTGCAACAAATGGAGCATTTTTTTGAAGTATAGACGGGAACGTCACAAGAGCAATGCATTTTCCCCCCCGTGAAACCTGATTCTACAAGTTTTCCTTCCAACCCACCAAGGGGCACTACAGGGACCAGTGATAATGGCTGATGAAAATTGATGAATAGCCAGTGTGAGGTCAAAAAGCACTTTGGGGTTCATAGACCTGCATGGAGAAGTAAGAGGAGGAGGAAAGGATATCTTTGCCTTACAGGTGAACTGGCATTTTGCCCCAATTTGTTTTCACAAAATATAGATTTAGTTAAAGTTTTTTGGGTTTTTTTTTTTCAGTTGTTGAGAGCGTAGGTCTGGCATTCCATCAAACAGAATTCCTATTCCATACAGCTAGGAATTAGGATTTGTAAGTACCAGTGGTGTTGGGAGGGACAAATCATCATTGGGGTGCAAGTGAGTTTTGATTGCAGATTTGTACATATCTTCAGTTACTGTATGAGAGAGGGCCTATTCTTTCAATGTTAAGCAATTTTAAATGAGTAGCTATTTTGTCCCTATCTTTTTTCCCTTTAAGTACAGTAATATACCTTAGAGATCATTTCTGGTGAGATTTTTTTTTGTGGTATTGTACTTTATTTTCTTACAAAGAATGATAAAGTTTGTTTAATGGCTACCAAGAATCCTGTTTTTGTTTGTTTTGTTTTGGGGAAAGTTCAGGTACTGGGCTGAAATGGATTTATTTGATGTGCGAACCTGGTATATTTCCATGTCAAATGTTTTCAAATTCAATAAAACATGTTATTAATACTTATGTTTATATTTTAATATTTCCACCCATTAATATTATGGTTACTGTTAACAACTTTGTGTTTAAGCATTTGAAATAAAAGTTTAAAATTTGGAATAGTGGGTATTGTGATTTATATTCACATAATAATGTTGAGTTCAACATTTAAAAAATGAAGTAACACCTTTTTTCTTGAGGGAAACACAAAATAAATTTGTTGATCTTTAGAAAAAAGGGCAATAGAAGAGTGATAATGAGTATAATCTATCTTAATGTAGAATGAGATAATTTGTTCTCGATACTTGAGATAAATAGTAAATCTTTGAAAGTGTAGGATTTGCAAATCAGTGAGCTTTAACTCCTTTGAGAATCTGATAAAAATTTGGATCTGTTCCCCAGAAAATTCACATATTCATATACTCAAAGTTTTGGCCAGAGGGGCTGACTTGTCCAGGACTATGCAGATAATAGCAGAACTGAGCTGGAACCCAGGCTCTTCTGTTCAGTGCGTGTCCTAATGATAATGATAATAATAGTAATAGTGACAACAACAACAACAACAGCAATGGCTACCACTTAGCAAACAGCGTGGCAAGCACTCTGCATACGGTTTTCTCCTTGGACCCTTTTGGAGTTGGTACCACCGTGGTCTTCATGTTACACAAGGGGTCACTGAGGCTTACCTCAGCCAGAACATGGCAAAGTCACATCTTCACAATTTTCCCTCTGGTTCCATCCACCTTCCCTTAGCCCTTCTCAGTCATCTCTCCATCATCCACAGATTTTCAAGCATCTTAGTGCCACTTTTGCTGAGATTTCCTAGCTCCCTTCCACTCAGGACTGAGATTCTGCCTGGCTGCCTCTGTGCAACCACACAGGTTTAAAACACTGACATATGTTTGTGTTTATAGGTAAATAGCCTGTGCTCCAAGGCCCCAAGTACCCTTCCCTATTCTGGCAGCCCTGCCTCATCCTCCAGAAACCCATAAGCCAGGAAGTAACAGGTTAAATCTCAGCATAATATGGGCCTTAGTGGTCCAGCATCAGGCTGGCATCTTCCTTGATTTTTTTTTTACTAGTATTATCATAACTTTGTTTCATTTTCTCCAACTTTCTTTGAGGTATAGTTGACAAACAAAATTAAATGTATTTAAAGGGTCCAACACGATAATTTGCTACACATACGCGTTGTGAAATATTTACCACAATCAAGTTAATTAACACATCCGTCACCTCACATAGTTATTTTGTGTGTAGATCTTAAAAGATCTACTGTCTTAACAAATTTCACGTGTACAATTTAGTATTAGTAATTATAGTCACCATACTGTATACAAGTTCCTCAGAACTAAAACTCCTGACTGAAAGTTTGTATTCTTTGACCAAGTAGTTGATTATTACCTTTGCATTTAAGAATGAAGTTATCTCCTTACCCTTGAAGGCCCAGCTAAGTTCTATATCACTTCCAATACTTTTTCTAACTACTTCAGCCTATATTTTAAACAAATATTTATAGAACACCTTCTATGAGCAGACAATGGATGCTTGGCACAGGAGATACAGGACCGAGCAGCACAGATGATTCCTGCTCACAGAGTTAGGGGGAGGTGACATCAATCTGTAATCAGCCCAATGCGTGACTACACCCTCCAGCAGCCATCAGGTAGGAAAAGTACTGCGTGCAACTGAAACACAATGTTTTCTTTATTTCTGCACATTTTTTAAAAAGTTATATTTTATGGATTATCCTATTACAAGTGTCCTGATTTTTCCCCTTTCGCCTCCCCTCCACCCAGCACTCCCCA